GTTTGCATATCTTCTCGGCGAGGACCACTGAGGAGTCTCGGGGGTCATCTTGCGAGAAAACGCGCTCACGAAGCTGAAACAGATGCACGGGGAGCGGACGTCCGAGCGATGGCAAGAGTACCGGTCTCATGTTCTAGCCTCGAGCGCCTATGGACACGCTGGGTGCCGTTGCGCATGCAGACAGGCCCGGGGTGGATACCACCATGGGCAGCGCGGCCGGTGCGGCCAGCGCTACGGTATTTTGCTGCTCTAGGGCAGGCCCCACATGGCACTCAAAGGCCAGGGGAAGGTGGGCGGGCATCGCCGTAAGGCAATCCTGGCGTTTCACTTTGACTAGACCGTCCTTGGCATCGCTCGGACGTGTGCATTTTTTCTCCGGCGGGGACCATCGAGAAGCATCCTTGATCCTGTGGCGAAAAAACCACGCACGAAACCGAAACAAGCACAGAGACTGGACGTCCGAGCGACGGCCAGAGTATGGTGGTCTGGCATTTCCTCCCACGCCCCCCTCCGCCACTGCAGACAGCGCTGGGCCGACGGGGCGTGCAAGCGAGTTCCGACCTGCGCGGCGCGTCCAGATCCCCTTTCGGGCCTCCCCCCGCGCCCCCCCCGCCCCCCCCCCCCCCCCCCCCCTGTCCCCTCCGTGCAAGCTGCCGGAGTCGAAAGAGAAACGGAAGATTGAGGCAGCGGGGAGCTCTCCCGCCGAGTCTGAATTCTCTGAAAAGTCTGTCCCTGGACCCCTGGCAGACTCCATCGCGACCTGTTCTTCGAGGCGGATCTGGATAAGTGGCGACGGGAAGTATGCGAGTGGCCACGATCGACGGAAATTGCCAGGGAGGGCTGTCCTCCCTCCACTCAAGAGGGCAACGCTTGGGAGGCCAGATGCAGCATCCGCGCCCGTATATCCGTTGTCGAAAACCGGCATGAGCCCGCTTACAATTCTCGGCGGTCGGCCCGTGGGGGGAAGCGAGAGGAGGCGGGCCTTCCCGGAAGGCTCGGAAGTCCCCTGGCCCTCTGAGAAGTTCTCTTGTCAGGAGAGGAAAAAACACACAGACACAATTAATCGTCGATTCCCCGGAAAATATAGGAAAATATGGGAAGTGGGGGGGAAGACAAAAACCCAGAAATTAGCCTTGCGAAGGACTCAACCATATGCAGTTGTGAGTAATGCTGGTGTGAGTACCGTCTTCGGTGGATCTCCCTATGGGGCCACGAACCGTTTGAGGGGTGTGCCGAAATGGGTGTGGGGGCGGCATTCGAACGTTGCCACTGGGGCCTTCGGTGGAGCTCCTTATGGGGCCACGAAAAGTGTGAGGGGGGCACCGAAGTTGGTGTGGGGGCGGCATGCGAACGCAGCCACTGGGGCCTTCGGTGGAGCTCCCTGTGGGGCCACGAAACGTGTGAGGGGTGTGCCGAAATTGGTGTGGGGGCGGCATGCGAACGCAGCCACTGGGGCCTTCGGTGGAGCTCCCTATGGTGCCACGAAACGTGTGAGGGGTGTGCCGAAATGGGTGTGGGGGCGCATGCGAACCCAGTCACTGGGGCCTTCAGTGGAAATCCCCATGGGGCCACGAAACGTGTGAGGGATGTGCCGAAATGGGTGTGGGGAGGCATGCGACCCTGCCACTGGGGCCTTCGGTGGAGCTCCCTATGGGGCCACGAAACGTGTGAGGGGTGTGCCGAAATGGGTGGTGGGGAGGCATGCGGACCCTGCCACTGGGGCCTTCGGTGGAGCTCCCTATGGGGCCACGAAACGTGTGAGGGGTGTGCCGAAATGGGTGGTGGGAGGCATGCGAACGCAGCCACTGGGGCCTTCGGTGGAGCTCCCTATGGGGCCACGAAACGTGTGAGGGGTGTGCCGAAATGGGTGGTGGGGAGGCATGCGGACGCAGCCACTGGGGCCTTCGGTGGAGCTCCCTATGGGGCCACGAAACGTGTGAGGGGTGTGCCGAAATGGGTGGTGGGGAGGCATGCGAACCCTGCCACTGGGGCCTTCGGTGGAGCTCCCTATGGGGCCACGAAACGTGTGAGGGGTGTGCCGAAATGGGTGGTGGGGAGGCATGCGACGCAGCCACTGGGGCCTTCGGTGGAGCTCCCTATGGGGCCACGAAACGTGTGAGGGGTGTGCCGAAATGGGTGGTGGGGAGGCATGCGGACCCTGCCACTGGGGCCTTCGGTGGAGCTCCCTATGGGGCCACGAAACGTGTGAGGGGTGTGCCGAAATGGGTGGGGGGGAGGCATGCGAACGCCCTGCTGGGGCCTTCGGTGGAGCTCCCTATGGGGCCACGAAACGTGTGAGGGGTGTGCCGAAAATGGGTGGTGGGGAGGCATGCGAACGCAGCCACTGGGGCCTTCGGTGGAGCTCCCTATGGGGCCACGAAACGTGTGAGGGGTGTGCCGAAATGGGTGGTGGGGAGGCATGCGAACGCAGCCACTGGGGCCTTCGGTGGAGCTCCCTATGGGGCCACGAAACGTGTGAGGGGTGTGCCGAAATGGGTGGTGGGGGGGCACATGCCACCATGTGGGGCTGTGGATGATGCCGAAATCGGTGGTGATGATGATGATGATGATGATGATGATGATGATGATGATGATGATGATGATGATGATGATGATGATGATGATGATGATGATGATGATGATGATGATGATGATGATGATGATGATGATGATGATGATGATGATGATGATGATGATGATGATGATGATGATGATGATGGGAGGAGGGAGGGGGGGGGAGGAGGAGGAGGTGGGGAACGCGGGGCGCCGTCTCTTCAAAACGAGGACCCAACACCACAGGATGGTTGGGAAATATAGGAAAAGTATAGGGAATATTTTTATTTGTGTGTATTTATTTGTGTGTCCTGGGGCCCCTTCATCTTGGAGGAGCTGCCTCAGCCTTCCCCGAAGACGCAGAAGACTTCTCGGGAGCCGGAGGCCTTTGAGAAGCCCCGCCGCAGTATGAGAAGGCCTTCTCTTGCTTACTCCCCCCCGTCGCTCGCCGCCGAAATTCCACCTATCCCCGTCAATCCAGTTTCAGCTGCGCGGCCTCGCGGCCCTTTCGTCAGGCCTCGCGGCCCTTTCGTCAGGCCTATTGGCGCTTCATCGCTCTCACGAGGACCTCCCAGGAGTTGCTTCCCAACCTGCACCCTCCTCGCCTCCTCCCGATCCTCCCCGTTAGCCCCTTCCTGCTCCTCGTGTTTCTGTAGCTGCTCCCCAAGCTGCCACTCCTGCTACTCATCTTCCACGACCTCCCTCGGGGGTTGGCCTTCCCGAGTGTTGGGGAGGCGGGTCCTGAGGGAAACGGGCCCTGGACCCCTGGGCCTTCCCCCAGGACCAGTTCTTCATCCGGAGTCGTTTTCTGACAGTCCCGGGGCCCAACGAGTCTCGTCCAACAGGTACCTGCACGCGTGCCAGATTTGTTCGGTTGGCTGATCGGGGCACCAGCTGCGGCCGCCTGCGCTGCAGACCAGTGATGTATGTACATTCGAGAAGCCTGGCGTGTTCAGCATAGATGCGGCGTCCCACGTCTGATCTGATGAGGGCCTGCGTGGAGTGGAGCCCAAGTGTGTCCCAGAGCCCAGGGACCTCCAGTTGTAGACAGCAGTGCCCAACAGGTATTTATTCTCGGCTCGCGGCAACTCATCTTGGGGTAGGGGGTTACGCAGACGGTCCAATGTCATTTTACCCGAAGTCCCGGAATTGGAGCAATCACCACGCATCGCAACTACAAAATTGTCTCGTATATCGCGTTGCATCCTGGCGCATTTCTGAACGCGGGGCTCGAGAGTCTAAGGCAAGGAACTCCGATGCGGACAGCGAAATTTCATAATCCGAACTCATTGGGCCAACACGGCTACGGATGCTTGACAATGCGGCAAACGTGTGTCCAACAAGCCAACAATTTTCGCATTACTGATGTTGTGCCATGCTATGCTATGATGGGGTGATCTGATGTGGTATGGTGTGCTATGATATGCTACGCTGTGATTCAGTACACCAGTGTCTCAGAGGTTCTGCTATGCTGCGATGTATGCTGTCATGCTCCGACGTCTTGCGCGGCCTCAGATGGCATAGCAACGCCTATGCGATGGTGTTGGCCCATGCCATGTATGATACGAAGGACAACAGGCTTTTGAGGAGGGCGGGAGAGAAACGATGAGGAGGAGGGTTGACTCTCTCACGAGACTCTCTGGTGGGCCCACACACCTCCTATCCCGCACGTGCGGACTTTACACCTTCATCGCGGAGTCTTTCGCGCGGGCTGCCGCGCGCGCCGGGGCGCTGCGTGGCGAACAGCCCATTGCAACAGAGCCCCGGTCTGGGCTTCTTATGGGCCTTCCGTGCTACGTCGAAGGTGGGCAAGGGAGAGATATGAGCATGAGTGCCTGCCTTCGCCGACGACGTTTTCCGATTGTGTCGAAGCCCTCGTGGGCCCCTCGGGGGCCTCTCGGGGCCTCCGGGGGGGGGGGGCTCCCGGAGACCTCCTGGAACCGGTTCGGGTCTCGTGTGAGCATCTTCGGGCCTCTGGGGGCGTCTTAGGGGCCTTTCGGAGCTCCTTTGAGGCCCCTTGGGGGCCTCTTGGAGGCCTCGTGGGTGCCTCTTGAGCTCTTGAGGTCGTTTGGAGGCTTCGTTGGGCCCTCTCGGAAGTTCTTTCAGCGTTTGAGGGGCCTCCTGGGAGCCTCGTGGAGGACTCCTGCGCCATCTTGGGGCGATCCTGAGGGCTTACTGGGCCATCCTGGACGCTGTCAAGAACAAATCAGCGATAATGTGACAATTGTAGAACAGCCATAGGTGTTTGACGAATCTAGCCTCCTGGGTGCGTCTTGGAAGGCATCTTGGTCCCCTCTTGGGTTTTTTTCGCGGATTCTCAGGGCCGTCTTGGGGCCATTGCGGCCGCTTTCGAGGCTATGTTGGGCCGTCGTGAAGGCCGCACATGATTTCCGGGTTCCCAGGACGCCCAAGAGGCCCACAAGACAGCCTCAGCGAGGCCCAAGAGGGCCCGAGATGGCTTGAAGAGGGCCCCAAGAGGGCCTTCTTCAAGAGGCAAACATCGGCCCATTCCCTTTCGTAAAACGTAAGTTTTCACCATGCTCCCTTGCTTCGTTTTCGCAGTGCCCCAGACGCCCCCGAGGAGCCCCAAGACAGCCCAAGAGAGACCCAAGAGGGCCCCAGACGGCCCAAAAGGGTCGGCCTGTGGGGCTCACAGAACCTCCCAAGACGGCCCAAGAGGCCCCGAAGCCGGCCCAGGAGGCCCCCAAGCCTGCTTCAGGGAGGCCCAAGAGAGCCTCGTTCGAAATCATGTTTCAGGAAGCCTCTCCGGGAACATGATTTCCGGGCTCCCAGGACGCCAACGACAGCCCCCAGAGGCCCCGGACACGCCGAAGATGGCTTCAGGACGGCCGACGACGCCGCCAAAACGCTCCAAGAGCGCCTCCAGAGGCCCCTTCCAAAGGGCCGCAGAAGCCGAAAATCATAAATTTTCCAATGGTGTTTTAAGCATTCTTGCGCTCTCCCATGTTCCGCCTCCCCACGGTCCTGGAACGCGTCAGGGGCCCTTCAGATCGCTCCAAGAGGCTCCCAAGAAAGCCCAGAGACGGCCCAGGAGGCTCCCCAGATAAGTCAAGAGGGCCTCGAGCGCGCCCCAAGAGCGACCCAAGAGGGCCCGAAGAGCGCGACATTTCAAGGTCTCCGTCTGGCCTGAGAGGCTCCTAGGACGCCCCCGGAGGCCATCAAGAGGCTCCCACGAAGCCCCGTGAGGCTCCCAAGAGGCCCCCCGGAAGCCCCAATAGGCCCCCAAGGGGCCCCCAGGGAAGCCCCCTGCGGGCCCCCAAGACACTTCGGTAAGTCGTATTTCCCAGATAGCTTTCCGGGAATATGATTCCTTGGCAAGGGCTTCCGCCCACCGTCCCAACCATGTTTCCAATAGGCTTGCCGACAATGCCAAAAGGCGCCCCTGAGTAAGCCCCCATGCGGAGGCCCCAAATCATGTTCCTGGAAAGCTTCCCGGGAACATGATTCTCTATCTCGGATTAGGCCCGGGGGGTGGCGGGCCACTGCTTGTTCCCCCCCCCTCGGTGCCCACCAGGGGTTGCGGGGGGGGGTCCAGAGCTCCCGAGGCGGCCCGAGCCCGCCCCGAAGCAGGCCACGACAGGCTAAGGGGGTCCCGAGAGGACCAAGACGGTCCCACGAGGCCCTAAAGACGCCCAAGATGACCTCAAGACAGCCGACGAGGACTCCAACACGCTCCAGGACGGACTAAGAGGCTCCCCAAGAGGGCCCTGGAAGGCAATATTCACTCGTTTTCCGAGTGTTTTGGATTTTGGCGTTCTCGCTTTTCCCGCTTTCCAGCGCTCCCTCACGGCCTCGGAGGCCTTTCAGATCGCTCCAAGAAGGGCCACGAGGCCCTGACGAGGGCCCCAAGACGGCCCAGGATGGCCCCCCAGACAACATAAGTGTGCCCCAAGAGCTCCCCAAGAGAGGGCCCAGAGGGTACCGCCAACCGATATTTCTAAATTTCTGGCCCTAGAGGCCGCCTGTAGGCCCCTGGAGGCCACCAAGAGGCTCCCACCCCCGTGAGGCGCCCAAGAGGCCCCCAGGAAGCCCCAAGAGACCCCCAAGGGGCTCCCAGGGAACTCCCAAGAGGCCCCCCAACACACACCAAGAAATCATGTCCCCAGAAAACCTTCTGGGGACATGGTTTATCATGGGCCCGAGAGTTCCCGGAGGCCCGCAAGGGGCCCCCAGGGAACGCCCAAGAGACACACCCCAGCAAACCATGCCCCCAGAAAGCCTTCCGGGGACATGGTTCATCATGGGCCCGCGAGTCTCCGGAGACTTCGAAGTACCATCATGTTACAGGAGAGCTTGCTGGGAAGTTTATTTTGAACATGACTGATCGCCTTCTCGCGGCCCTCCGCAGATCGTTTCGCACAAAGTTGCCCCAAGTGCCCTCTTGAGCCGACGACGACGATGAAACGACGAAGACGAAGACGACGATGAAACGACGAAGACGAAGACGACGACGACGACGACGACGACGACGACGACGACGACGACGACGACGACGACGACGACGACGACGACGACGACGACGACGACGACGACGACGACGACGACGGCGCGCCCCAAAAGGCGACGACGACATTACGACGACGACGACGACGACGACGACGACGACGACGACGACGACGACGACGACGACGACGACGACGACGACGGCACGCCCCAACAGGCTCCCCAAGACGCCCCAAACCCATGCTCCCAGAAGGCCTTCTGAGAACCCGATTCGTACGGCCTCCGCCCCCTCTACACAACCACCATTCTCCTCGAAGGCCTTTCGGAGTGCAGATTGGCATGCGTGGACCGTGGTCCACTACTTCAGTGGAGCGGTGAAGTCGTCAAGGCCCTGGGGCCTGCTAGAACCTGAGCGCCTGCGAAGGGCGCGCGATGGTTTCAGTATGTGTATATATATATATATGTGTGTGTGTGTGTGTGTGTGTGTCTGTGTGTCTGTGTGTGTGTGTGTTTGTGTGTGCGTGTTTGTGTGTGTGTGTGTTGCTCGCTCTTTCACTCCCTCCCTCCCCCAGCTCTTCCTCCCGCAGGGGACGAACTTCGGCCTCGGCGGCCGCCACACGCCGAGCATGCCAGCCTGGGAGAGGGGGCCGCGCAGCTCGCGGCGGCCTCAGCGGGCTCGGAAAGACGAGGGGGCACAGCAGGGGAGGGGGGAGGTAGGGAGGAAGGGGGAAAAAGGGGGGAGAAACAGGAGGGAAGGGGAGGAGAAGGGCCGCATCCGTCCTGGACACAAGAGCCCGCAGCTCGAGATGAGGCACTCGTGCCAGAGGAACACCGACGTGGGCTGGCCCGAAGGCGCTTCACGGTGCACCCACAGCTGAAGCCGAAGCTATAGTTCGAAGGGGGGAGGAGGAGCAGTAGGAGTGTCGGCAAGGGGGAACGGGAGGAGGAGGGGGAGGATGGGGAGGAAGACCGGCAACAGGAGGAGGATGAGGCGGCGGGAGGAGGAGGAGGAGGACGTGGATGTGGAAGAATGAGGAGGACGGGGGGAGGAGGATGAGAGGGGGGGATGAGAAGGAGGAGGAGGAGGAGGAGGTGGAGGAGGAGGAGGAGGAGGAGGAGGTATCGCTGCCTGGTTGCCGGCATGGCAGACGGACGCCGTGGACCGCGCCGCCTTTTACACTGCTGTTGCCTGCTGGCCCGCCGTTGGTCTTCTCTCTGGCGCCAGGACGATGGAGGGAGCATGGGGGGGAGGGGGGAGGGAGGGTGGGAGGAGGAGGAGGAGGAGGAGGAGGAGGAGGAGGAGGAGGAGGAGGAGGAGGAGGAATGAGAGGAGGAGGCGGAGGCGGAGGCGGAGAGAGGGAGAGGAGGTGAGAGGAGGAGGAGGGAGGAGGAATGGGAGGAGGAGGAGGAGGGAGGAGGAGGAGGAGGAGGAGGAGGAGGAGGAGGAGGAGGAGGAGGCGGAGGCGGAGAGGGAGAGGAGGGTGAGAGGAGGAGGAGGAGGAGGAGGGAGAGGAGGGAGGGTGAGAGGAGGAGGCGGAGAGGGAGATGAGGCGGAGAGGGAGAGGAGGGAGGGATGATGATGAGGAGGAGGAGGAGGAGGAGGAGGAGGAGGAGGAGGCGGAGAAAGAGAGGATGAGGGCGAGGGGAAGGTCAGGGCGGCGGGAAGCGGGAGGAGGGGGAGGGGGGACACGGGGGGAGGAGGGGAGGGACACGGGGGAGGGGGGGCAGGGGAGCAGGGCGTGGAAAGGGGGCAGAGTTTTGGGATGATGATGATGATGATGATGATGATGATGATGCTGATGATGATGATGCTGATGATGATGATGATGATGATGATGATGATGATGATGATGATGATGATTATGATGATGATGATGGTGATGGTGATGGTGATGGTGATGATAGTGATGATGGTGATGATGGTGATGATGATGATGATGGTGATGGTGATGGTGATGGTGATGGTGATGGTGATGGTTATGATGTTGATGATGATACGGCTGCTGATGATGGTGGTGATGATGATGATGATACGGCTGCTGATGATGGTGATGATGATGAGCTTGATGATGATGAGGATGATAATGATGGTGACGATGCTACTGATGCTGATGATGATGTTGTTGACGCTGATCATGAGGAGGAGGAGGTTGTTGTTGATGATGATGATGATCTTGATAAGTATGGTGATGTTGTTGATGATGATACTGATGATGGTGATGATGATGAGGCTGAGGCTGATGATGATGATGATGATGATGAGGAGGAGGTTGATGATGCTGACGATTATGATGATGGTGATGGTGGTGATGATGCTGATGCTGATGCTGACGCTGATGCTGATGCTGATGGTGCTGATGCTAATGCCGATGATGAGGAGGAGGAAGAGGGAAGGGGGATGAGGAGGATGGACAGAAGGGGGGGAGAGGGAGGTGGTGGTAAGAGGAATGGGATCGCTGATGAAGCCAGATAAAAATAACGCTCGCTCTCCTCGCACGACCCCCTCAGAAGCGAGGCGATTGTGAAGCCGAGGTGGGTGACGAGGTGTTGCTCATACAACGCCTAGACACTAGCCGCTGCACACTGTTTCGATGAGTGCGATCCTACTCTGATGGCACTTCAGATGTTTAAACAAAGACCTCTGTCACCAACGGAACTATCTCACTCCGTGGACGAGGCGCGGTATGTGTCCGAGCATCTCCTCGTAGACGAAGCATAGCGGGCGATGAGTAACACTTGCGCCGAACGTTTTCACAGCTACCTGAAGATGAGTAGACTAGCACTTTTTCATGAGGAGGCGAGATGAAACCTTGAATGCATCGTTGCACAAGAGCAATGCTGATAGCACAGAGGCACCGAATGACGGGCATCCCCTGCCCAACGACAGGATGTTTGGCTACATGGTCAAGACCGCATGCCAAGTGCGAGAAGCCTCGCAACACGCCCTGCACAACAGTGCACACGTAACTCTTCGACAGGGGCATCTTCTGGAACACGACAATACAGCATTCGACCATGGCGTGATCGAAAAGCGTGCGCGCGGACCCACTGCGGCACTACAGATCGCCCGCGCCCTGTCGCAAAAAGCAGCTGTCCGCTGCGACTGCCGGGCGCTCCCGCGCTTGCGGATCCAAGCATTGGAATCGATGGCCGTCGGCGCGCACCTCGCCCTCCCACCACGCGCCCTGCGGCGGCACCGCCCGCCGCCCCTGCCTGCCCTGCTCGCACGGGCCCTGCCGAGCGATGTAGCCGATGGCGGGCGGTCCATGATGGGCAACGTTTCCACCGCCCATACCACTTGCAGGACAGGGGGAGAAGGGAGGATGAGGAGGTCCTCCTCCTCCTCCTCCTACTCCTCCTCCTCCTTCATCCTCCTCTCCCTCCTCCTCCCTCTCCTACCTACGGTAGTGGTGGTGGGAAAGGGGCCAGTCAGTCCAGGCTCTGCATGGAGAGCACGCTGCAATCTCGCCAATTCGCTTCAAGATCACCCCGATTTAGCCAACCCTGTCGACAGAACACGACGTCCCTGGGGACGAGCTGCCACTCGAGCGCCACGCTGAGGCATCGAGGTGCGGAGCGGGTCCAGAGCTAAGCCGAAAGGGGCCCACGGATGGACCAGAGTCGCATGTTCTTGATGGGATGGGGGATTTCGAGGGAGGGGCGGGGGACGGGGGAGACGGATGGGAAAGGGAATGAGGGCGAATCGGAGGGGGGGGGGACGGGGAGGGGGGGTGAGGGAAAGAGGCTGGGGAGACGGGGGGGAGGAGGGGCACGCACACTCACCAGCGCGAGCACGCTCAACTATGAGCAGGAAGAGGCGTCTCCTCCCTCATGCGAACCCTCGTCCCCCTCAGCTTTGCAGTCTCCGCTAACGGGCCCCATCGTCGCTCCTCGTCATCGCGCGATTGCGCGATGAGAAAGGTTGGGTGGAGCATTACATGGGCGTGATTGAAGGTTCGCCCGATTTTTTCAGTGCGGCTTTCTTTGGCACGACGCAGTGGGATGTCGAATGATGCAGACGAATACACAATCGTGCGTGCCGAAACGCTTATGTATGCTACTGTTTCGAGCCAAGTCCGAAAATTATTCGAACTTGCAAGAGGGAGTCCCTCACGAAACGCTCACTTTGCTACTGTTTCGAGCCAAGTCCGAAACTGGTTCGAACCTGCTTCACGAGGAAGTCTTAGACGAAACGCTCATGTTCTATTGTTTCGAACCGAGCTCGGACCTCGTTCGAACGTGTTGTTCGAGAACGTCATGCACGAGACGCCCACTTCTCCATTTGTTCGAACCGAGTTCGAACCTGATTCGAACTTGCTGTTCGGGAAAGTCTCGCGCGAAACGCCCACTTATATATTGGTTGGAATCGATTTTCATGGTTTGGAACCAACTTTCGAACCTGGTTTCGAACCTTTTTCAAAAGAAGTCGCTCCACGCGGCTTGCCGTTTTCGAACCGCCATCCCGTTTAGCCTTATGGAAATTTAATTGGCGGTACAAGCCCGATGTTCCCCGCCCCCCGCTGGCGCAGCTCCACTGCCGTCACATTGTGCCAGGCTCTGCCCGCCTAATGGGGCACCTCCGACCCACGCTTCGCCAGCCTGTCAAATAATGGACGATCTTTTTTCACGGCACAGTAGGAGCGCATGCGGTCCATGTACGATGCAAGTGTCTTGATATTGCGCTTGACAACTGGGGCGTCCATGCGGCTGGCGAGCGCCAATGGAAGCAGCCAAGCTGTGGGCGTCTGTGCACTCTTGAAAAGAAATGTTGGGCCGGTAGGTTCGGCGTGCGTTCTCATCCTGCGTTACCGAGTCGGGACAGCCTGACCGAAGTGGCACCCCATCCAACCCGATGTTCGGCACCGTCTTCACCTGCAGCACTTATCCGTCTTCGTTTCCACACATATCGTCGTGCACTCTAGGCCGTGGCCATAGCATTTGTGGCATCATCGTGTTGGAGAACACGCGGTGTTGATTCCCCCTATCCAGTGCGACGAGATTCTCCTCCGTCAGTGTGCCCCTCGACGCTCTGGCCGTTCTTCTCAGGATGACGTTTTGCGCCAAGTTGTGTTTGTGCAGTTGTCCATCCTACCCAACAACATGTTTATCCCAAGTCTTCAGAAAGCCCTTCAGGTCCCAGCTCCCGCCCCGCAGCTCATGAGAGTTTGGATCGTTATGGGCCGCATTCCTTCCCTGATCATCCTCCTTCTGATCCCCCTCCCTCATCTCACCCAGTTTCTCGTACCTCCTCCCACCCGCCTGCTCCTCTGTGACAGCAGACTTTGTTCGGTCGCCGCCTCCCCGTGTGTTTGTTAGTCTCCTTCCGTCACAGCCTATTCTTGAACTCGGTCGAGGTGTTGCTTGTGCCTCCCTTCATGTACTCTGGCGCTGACCAGGTCATGCCTCTGCGTTGCGAGGTCAGCGAGGGAGTTGCAATTCTTGTCCCCTCCATCCTCTCTCGTACCTCCTTCACAACCCCCCCCCTTCTCCTTCACACCCTCCTTGTGCTCACCGTCATCCCACCGATGCGTGCCAAGGTCGTTGCCTTCTGAGGCACCGCGGAGTGCGTCAGCGCCTTCTGCCTCAGGAGGGGCACCGGAGACCATGATCAGACAGAGCTGCCCCGCTCCCTCCCTTCCCCTCCATCTCCTCCCGCACTGCTGGGTCAGATGTGCCATCTCTTCCTCGTGGCAAGAGCTTAGTCTAGGTGTCGGATCATGTGTTCCCCCAGCCGTTGTGGAAACGCGTCGAGCTCTCCTGGAGGTTCTCTCTCGGAGGCCTCGCGGGGGCCTCTTGGGCCCATCTTGGCCCATCCTGGGCCCATCTTGGGTCGCCCTGGGTGCATCTTGCGCCGTCCTGTGGACGTCATGAGGTCAGCTTGGGCTCTCTTGGGGCCATCTTGGCCGTCGTGGAGGCAGGGCTGGACCTGAACGGTGTTTTGGCGATCTCGTGGGCCAGTTTGTTTGGGGCTCTGTTCTGCATTCAGGGAAAAGCTGAGGCAGCACGAGGAATATAACGAAACACAAAACGGAAACGAAAGACGCTGTTTAGGCTCAGCCCTGCTTGGAGGCCATCTTGGGGTCGTCTTGAGCGGGATGGCCGACGACCTGGGAAGTTCATGGGTCTCGTCTGGACATCTGTTGGAGAGATTCCGGTCTCCAGGCGGGCTGGGCTGGGACCCCGCTGGCAACGTTTGGAAAAGGGCCAACACGAGTGCCTAAAATCAGGAGAGGAAAAAACACGCAGGCACAATTAATCGTCGATTCCTCAGAAAATATTGGAAAATATGGGAAGGTGGGGGCAAGACAAAAACCCAGAAAATGTTGGGACATATGGGGAATATGTTTATTTGTGTGTATTTCTTTGTGTGTCCTGGGGCCCCTTCATAAAATCCAGCACGCCGCGTGCACCCTCGTGGCAAGCCATTGAACGCAGCGGGTGCAAAGTGCCTGCGGCAAGTCTCGCCACCCTGCCAGCGCAGCACTCGGAGTGGCAGCGCCCAGACGGCTCTAACATGTGATCCTCTCGTCTCTGTTCTTGAGGGGCTCATGTAGGCTACCTGGGCCGTCTTGGGACTATCCTGGTCTCCAGCGGGACCCTCAGCGGACCCTCTTGGGGCCCTCTTGGGTCGTTTCAGGGCTTGCTTGGACCCTTCCGGTGCCCTCTTGGGCCACTCTCGGCTGTCTGGGGGGCCACTTGGGGCTGTCTCGCGAGTATATCAGGGCCTTCTTGTATTGTCGAGGTCCCCAATTGGGCCGTGGGGCTGTCCTGGGCCGTCCTAGGCCGTCTGGGGGGGGCCTCATGGAGGTCATCATTGGGCACCGCTGGTATATTTGTAGCTTATTCGAGGCCCTCTCGAAACCTTCTCGAGCCCTCTGGGCGAGGAAGCGCAACACCCTGAAGCACTCCAGATATTGGGCTGGCCTCCGGCCAGTGCCGCCGATCCGGGGGGGCTCCCGAAGTGGAGTTTTCTATACCCCCCTGTCCCCGGGTACCGAAAAACGTCGGAAATGACGTCGGAAATATCCCCGTGTACCGAAAAACGTCCAACATGACGTCGGAAATAACGTGCCCTCCCCCCCCCTTGCAGAGCGAAGCTTGAGCGAGCTCAAGTCCACGCTCTCAGAAACTCACACGCCAGATCGGCGGATTTCCCATTGCTGTTGCGCGAGGTTGGTCCTCCTGGGGGGCCCTGCTGGATGTTTTGGATGTCTTGGAAGCCGCTTGCGGCGTCTCTCGCGGTTTTTTCAGAAAGGTTGGTGGGTGCCTCTCGGGGCGAGGCTGTGGCATCTTGGCGGCCCTGGCGGCCTTCCTGGGCCGTCTCGGAAGCCTTGCGCTACTCTGGAGAGCAGCGGGGCACGCTTCGGGCCGCTCACGAGGCCTCCGGGGGGGGGGAGCATGTGCTGACCGTGCTCCGGTTCCACGGCGTCGACGTCTCGAGCCTTTCCCGGCCTGCAGTCTACCGGCCTGGCACATGTCCCTGTCCCTATGTTTGACGTCACCTCGCCTCGATGCCGATCTCAAGGATTCCCTCAGTTTTTGAGGGCCTATCCCTGAGATTGTCCTCGCTGTTTGCTCGCCCAGATCTTAGGGATAGGGATATCCGTTCGAGGCTGGTCAGCAGTGGGATCCCGGTCGGGACTCTTTGGGCTCGGCGCGCTGCCCCGCCGATTTTCTGGCCCTTTGTGGGCCCCGGAAACGGCAGGGCCGTTCCCTGACCTTCCAGGAGGGCTAAAAAATAGCACCAGGACCTCGATATCCTAATTTCTGTCGAGGTTTTAGGCAGCCCAGATAGGTCTATAGGTCTGGAGGGCTATTTTTCAGTACTCTGGAAGGTCAGGGTTTGTTCACCGTTTCCAGAAAAATGCCCCTTGAAAATGGAAACGGCAAAACATCGGCGATCGGAAACGGCAACAAAAACGGCTCCAGGGTTGGCACCGGAGCCGGAGAACCGGTGCAGAAACGGCGACGGGACCGGTGAAAACACGGCGCTGGAACCGGCAAGCAAACGGCAAAGCGGAACCGGTGAAAAACGGCCCTGTCGTTTCCAGGGCCCGCTAAGCCCATCACGCCTCGGCGCGACACGCCTAGCGCGCCCTGGTTCCCGAGCGCCGACGTCCCAGGCGCTTCCCGCCCCCCCCGCCCCGCGGCGCGGAGCGACGCGCCGTCGGTTCGCAGGGCACGGCTCGGCGGCGAGCGAGGAGGGGAGGTGAGGAGGAGAGGGCCTTCTCGGCAGGCTCGGAAGTCCCGCGAGGCCTTCCGCGAAGTCGTCGGCGCCCTCCCCGAAGACACCAAGCACCTGGCATCGCTCTGACGTGTGCATTTTTCCTTTCGGCGCGGACCATCGAGGAGCATCCTTGCTCATTTGGCGAACAAGCCACGCACAAAACCGAAAAAAACACAGGGAATGGACGTCCGAGCGATGGCCAGAAACTGCTTCTCACAGGGCGCGAGGGCTTCTGAGAAGTCCCGACCCCCGCCGCCTTCGGAGAAGGCCCTCTCCTCCTTCTCGCTTCCCCTTCTGGCCTCGCTCGCCGCCGAGTGTCGCGCCGGACGACAGGGGGGGATTGGGAAAGGGGGGGGGTACAATATTTGCTGCATGCAGCTGGTTTCGGCCCCACCGAGGGGCCCATTCCTCGATACCTCGTCGCCTCTGGCGCCGGGAAAATCAGCTACGCGAGCTGATTCTCAACCCCCCCCTTTGCTATTCCCTTTCGCCCGACCCGAGAGCGGCCCGTCGCACGGGCCGCCGCCGCGCCATTGCCGAGCAGAAGGCCCCCGCCGTGAGGCCCAGAAGCCCAGCAGACGGGCGAGCGAGCGAGGCGGCGCGCGCGCGGCGCGCGGCGGGCGTGCGCCGTGCGAGGCGGCCGGAGGGCCTCGGGCGGAGAGGAAGCGACCAGGAATGACAGCCATCGCGTAGGGACACCAACCACGTTTTCTCTCTCGGAGTTGTCCCTGGCCGTCGTTGACTTTCCGACGTTTGGCGCCTCCGACGGACTTGCAGCTTTGCACGCTGGCAGTTCAGTCTCAGTCCCCTCAGCCACCCACCTGAGGCCTCGGCCGCGCTTAGCCGTTGCCTCGCGCGTTGCTCTGCTCTATTTTGTCCCGCGCTTCCTCTCTCTGCGTAGCCCGCTCTGACCTGACTCGCCGCCGGCGCGTTCGCCCGCGGCCGCTGACTAAAAGTAGGGACACCAACAGATCCTCAACTCGGGCCTACGCTTGAGGCCGAGGCGAACTTGGGCACCGAGTCGCGAGCTAAACGATCTGAATACTTTACGACGAGTCTTGGGAGTGGGCAGCTTCTTGGGACTGGCCGGCGGGACCACGAGGGGAGGTGGGGGACTGCAGGCCCGGGCGCGTCTAGCTGCAGGTCCGTCCTAGGCTGCAGCTCTTGGGAGGTTGAGTTTAGAATCGGCGCCGGTGTGTCCCTGGTTGAAGGCTGGCCCAATCCTAAGGGAACAAAAAGTGACATAAACATAAAACTTCGGAGGTCCGCGCGGATTTCTCGGATCGGTGCTGGACCCCCCTCCTTGGCGCGCGGAGCGCGCCAGGGGCGGCGCTGGAGGCGCCGCCGGGGGGCCTCAGCGCCGATCCGAGAAATCCGCGCGGACCTCCGAGTTTGTATGTTCATGTCATTTTTTTGTTCCCCAAAATCAGGCGCCATCCCGCTGGATGAAGCTTGATCCCATTCATTCTGGCGTGAACCTGTTCTTGTCTGGCGGAATCCCGGGCCCAATCCGGCCCGATCCGGCCCAGCGGCTAGCCCTTCACCGCTGTGGCGCAGGAGGCGCCCTCTCGGATGCGGGCAAGATTGCCTGCAGGGCATGCCTGGCTCCGCACAGGCAGCCCCCCAGGTAGTCTCGGCTGGCCTCAACAGGCCCCCCTAAGCAGTCCCTTGGCCTCAACAGGCGAATGCCGGAATAGGCCAGGGCGGCCTCGGCACTCCAACCCTGGGGCGCGGAGCGCCCCAGAAGCGCCGCCGGAGGCGGCGTCCGGGTGTTGGCCTTTTTGAGGCCAGCCAGGACTAATTACCTGGGGGGGGATATCCGTGAGCAGCCCGAAGCTTTACCAGATGTTCTACTCTTTCGACTCAATCTTGTGTGCTTGCATGGCATTCCCCTCCCCCCCCCCCGCCCACCCCACCCCGTCCGCCGCCTGTTCGAACAGCGCTGGGCCTGAGAGGCGTCCTGAGGAGTCCCGATTCGCGTGCAGTCCAGGTTCCCTCCCGGGCCTCGCCACGCCCCCGCCCGCCTCCCCCATTCTAATTATGCAGGTCAACTTGCCGGATTCGACAAGACAACTGTCTCCAGCATCCTCCGATACGACTTTTGTTCCCATCTGCGGACCCATGCAGAGATTTCCGCCCCCTGCCCCCCCGGGAGCAGGCTTCGGTCCCGGATCCATGTTTGATGGTCCCAGGACCCGACAGTGGGCCCCGGAGGCCGACATCGAGGGAAAACGCTGAGATGTCGCGAAGTCGCAGCGTCGGACGTTTGTGCGGGCAATATTCATATCCATATCCAGTGCGTCTTGGACTTTCTTGGAAGGAGCGCCGCAAGGCCGAGGCGCACTGGATATGGATAAAATTTGAGCCTTTTGGAGGCAGATTATAATCCATATCCAGTGCGCCTCATGTTTCTTTGGAAGAGTGTCCGAAACTCCAAGACGCACTGGATGTGGATAAAGACATTGCCCGCAGTCTGGGGGCAGGGTCGGCTATGCGTACGAGTGACCCTTCGCCAGAGTGACCTTTCGTGCGGGCCCGGGCGGATCCCGCCAGCATCGGCTGGCGGGCTTCTTGCGCTCCTCGCACCTGGCATTCCCGTCGCTCCCCGACAGCCGGGCCCCAGAGGTCCCTCGTGGAGATCGTTCTTGTCATACCCCTGGGGGTAACGCGTGTTACCACCCCCAGACCCCCCTTGCAACGGCAACGCTAGCAAACCGGGCACGTGCGTGAACCCTTGCACCTTCCACAGGACATTGCACAGGCGCTCCGGCGCACGCGGGTATCGACGTGCACGCAGGGCCAGTGCACTGCAGTGTACACGGGCGCTGTGGGACACGCAGACACTATGGCGTACACGTGCGCTGCGGTGCACATGGCTGCTGGTAGTGTGCACAGGTGTTGCGGTGTTCACAGGCGTTGTGATGCACGGAAACACTGTGGTGTACACAGGCGCCGTGGTGCACTTGTCTGCTGTGGTGTACACAGGCGTTGTGGTGTACGCAAGCATTGCGGTGCAGCAGAATGAGATCAGAGGATGAGGGGCAGGACGATGATGAAGAGGAGGAGGCGGAGGGGGAGTAGGAGGTGGGAAGGGGGAGGGAACCAGATAACAGCATTTTCACAGCTTGGTGGCACCGCCATGGGGGGGTCTGCGGGCTCTCGTTGTCGTCCGTTGTTGCCTCTGGCCTCAGACAGTTAGTTCACTGGCGCAGAGAAGGCGCGGCGGCGACCCCAGCGCGGGCGTTCAAGGTTGCGACGCGCTGGGGTGGCAGGCTTTCGGGCTTCAGGATTCTCACAAACGAACCCGCGGTGCGAAATCATGGTTCAATATTGGGCCGCAGGCTTCCAGTTGCGCAGATCGTTCAAGATTGAACGATCCACGCGGCGTTAGAAACGGTTGTCCCAGGCTCCGCGACACGAATTTGCTGTACAGCCGACGCCTCACGTCCTCATACTTTCTCCACCTCCCGCCTCACTTTATTGCGTCTCCCACCTGCTCCTAGCCACCCCCCGCTTCTCTCCAACTCTTCCCACGTCTTCCCGAGTTCTCCCACCTCCTCCCACATCCTCCCGAGTGCTGCCACCTCCCGCATCTTCCCATCTCCTCCCAGCTCGCCCTCCCGAGCCTTCCCGGGTCCTCCTTCCTCCTCGGTCGACCTCACAAGCGCAACGTGGTGTTCGCAAGCGACTCATGTGCCCGCCGCAACGTTTGGCGTCGTGGTGCGCACTGTGCACACATGCATTGTGGTGCACTGCTTCTTTGTGGTGTGCACAGGCGCTGTGGTACACATGGTTGCGGTGGTGTACACAGGCGCTGTGGTGTAATTACACAAGCATTCTGGTGCACGCAGGCACTGTGGTGTACATAGGCGCTGTTGCGCACGCGGCTGCGGCAGTGTGCACAGGCAGTGCGGTGTACACAGCGTGGTGCTGTGGTGCGCGCGGTTGCTGTGGTGTACGGAGGCGTTGTGGTGTACGCAGGGGGCGCTGTGTGGCACGCAGGCACCGGGCAGTGTCGCGTGCACAGGGATCGGCACACGGGCATTGGGCACTGCCGTGCACACAGGGGCTGCGGTGCACACGGGCGATTGATGTGCTGGGTGTCTCGGACTCACCCTGATGAGTGCATACCGCGGCCGCCGTGACAGTTGACCTCCCATCCCGTCCAATCCCCCCCCCAGGTAACACGCGTTACCCCCAATGAAGAAAAGAACGACTTCTTGCCTAGAGCCACCCTCGCGTGCAGACAAGCAGTGGGTCAGCATCGTTTCACCGATCCCTGTCCCCAGCACCACTCCCGCCCAGGTCCCCACCATCTCACCACCCCAGTTGGGGAGATGCCCCTCGAAACTCGGAGGAAGCGGCCCACATTCCCATCCAGGGGGGGAAATCCCTCAGCGCGGCCCAGGCCAAGCCCGCGGGGCTGGGGATCGGTTGAGCGATGCTCAGTGGGGGGCCCCCGCAGAGCGTGCGCGCGGGACGCCCGGGGGCAGGCCCGCGGCGGCAGGACGGCTCGTGGCACGAGCAGCGCCCGTCGGGCGCCACCGGACAGGGCCCGGAGCTCTACAAAGGCACCGATGGGAGCGGGGAGCTCTTCAGGGGCAGCGTCGACGAGGAGGAGGAGGAGGAGGAGGAGGAGGAGGCTACGGGACAGGGCCCGGAGCTTTACAAAGGCGCCGATGGGAGCGGGGCGCTCTTCAGGGGCAGCGTCGACGACGAGGAGGCGGAGCCGTCGAAGGGGCGACCTCGCCGAGAGTTTTCTGGGGGTGCCCAGATCGTCCCGAACGGCCAACAAAGAGCCGAGTTACGACACAAGAGAACCAGGGGGCAACGTTAGGGGGGGGACAGGCTCAGGAGGGGACGCAGCGAGACCCAACGCCCACTCATCGCCGATAGGGGCTTGACAGCCCACCCCGCCCGGGAGGGTCGATGTTTCCCCTCCTGAGCCGGCCCTCAGTGCCCTTCCAAATCCCTTCGAATTTTTGTCGACCTTTCTGGGCCTCCCGGGAGGCCTCTCGTCGCCACGGCTGGGTCGGCCTTGGGAAACGGGCCAGGATGGATTCAGGGAGGGGTCTGGGGATCGACTTTTCGCAGTTCTGGGCCTGGAGGGAGAGCCGCCGGTTGTCTCAAGTGGCCCTCCTCCGACAAATCGGGTTCGAGTAGATGGAGGAGGATCGCGCCGCATCGCCGATGCGCATCGGCGATCTGTTTCCTCAGAGCTCGATGTTCTTCATCGGGCCGTTGCCGATGCATCGGCAATGCGGCGTGATCTTCCAACCCCATCTGCTCTGGCCCAGCTCCAGCCCATCCCCCGATGATTGAGGATCGAAGAACTTGCACGTTCCGAGACCTCCGAACGTGGCATTGTCTGAGGGAGTTTCTGTGGAACCCACGTCATCCTGACCCCCGGCGCGCGAGGTAATGGCCCCGCCGACGGCCCCCCCTGTTCCGTTTCCGGCGAGATCCGGCGAATTTGGCGACGAATTCCAAACCGGCTTCCTCGCGTGGGACATCCTCAGAAAAACCGCTCCCGGAGCCTCCCCAAGGAGGCCCTCAGAGGCCCCCCTGTTCCGTTTCCAGCGAGATCCGCTCCCTATGGGGCCATGAGGGGTGTGCCAAAGTGGAGGGGGGGCGGCATGCGAATCATGCCATTGGGGCCTTCGGTGGAGCTCCCGATGGGGCCACGAGACGCATGAGGGGTGTGTCAAAGTGAGGGGGGTAACGGGAGGAGGGAGAAGGGGGAGAAGCGGGAGGAGCAAGAGAGGAGGAGGCGGAGGCGGAGGACGCGTGGCACCGGCTCTTCAAGACGACGACCCAACACCACAGGATGGTTGGGAAGATTTGTTTCGGTTACCCTGCCTCGGGTGTGCCCTGGTCAGAAGTTCCAGGCCGTAGCAAATGAGCCTCGCCAAGGCCCCCACAAAATAGCAGCGAGAACCGCAGCACAATATCTTCGAAGTTGGGCACCAATATTTGAGAGGTCTGGAGGCTTCCGAGGAACGGCAGCGCCGCCTACGATCCGACGCGATGCGATTCGATTCGCCGGCTGGGGCCGCGCTTCCGATTCCATCCGATGCGGTTCCGCTCAGCGGTATCTGCCCGGGCCAGCCAGAGCCACGCGCGGCGATTCGATTTCGGTCTGGTTCGATTCTGCACCCTGCGTTGGCGATTCGGCCCGTGTTCGATCCGCTCCGATTTCGTGACTCGGTCCAGCTCAGACCCGACGGGGGCGAGGGTCGGCCAGATGCCCGGACAAAAGGGAGGAGGGAGGAGGAGAGGGAGGAGGAGGAGGAGGAGGAGGAGGAGGAGGAGGAGGAGGAGGAGGAGGACGAGGAGGACGAGGAGGACGAGGAGGACGAGGAGGACGAGGAGGAGGGTCCTGAGTGGCCTCTCGCTGGAGCCACATTTTTGGGTGCGGGCACGCCGGGGCCCCCAGAGAGCCGCATGCGCTGCGAACCAGCAGCGGCCTGCGCACTCCGCGTCGGCCTCCCCGCGGCCCCCCCGTCGCGCACGTCGAAGGTCGCTCTTCGGGCGGCCCAGCTGCGGGGAGCGGTCTCTGCGGCGCCCCCGCGCCATGCCCACCCGGGGCAGCCACCTTTGCGCTCCGCGCGCCTCCCGACGCGCGAGGATCTCCGCGCGCTCGCGCGAGGATCTCCGCGGGGGGGCGGCGGATGCATCCTCGCCCCGGCCCCGCCCGAAGAGCGACCTTCGACGTGCGCGACGGTCGGGGGCCGCGGGGAGGCCGAAGCGGAGCGCGCAGGCCGCTGCTGGTTCGCAGCGCATGCGGCTCTCTGGGGGCCCCGGCGTGCCCGCACCCAAAAGGTGGCTCCAGCGAGAGGCCACTCAGGACCCTCCTCCTCGTCCTCCTCCTCCTCCTCGTCCTCCTCCTCCTCCTCCTCCTCCTCCTCCTCCTCCTCCTCCTCCTCCTCCTCCTCCTCCTCCTCCTCCTCCTCCTCCTCCTCCTCCTCCTCCTCCTCCTCCTCCTCCTCCTCCTCCTCCTCCTCCTCCTCGTCTTCCTCGCTTCCCCTTGCCTCCGGGCCGCTGCGTGGCGAATACCAGCGGGCAGCCCGCAGGCGGAGCCCATCGTTCCAGGGCCTGCTGGGGCGCCCTCGGAGAGCATTCCAGAGCGCTCTCTGAGAAGGCCGCGACGTCCGACGCATCCGGAGCCGCCAGATCTCAGAGGTTCCCGATTGAGCCTCACCCCTCCTCCTCCTCCTCCTCCTCCTCCTCCCTCTCCTCCTCCTCCTCCTCCTCCTCCTCCTCCTCCTCCTCCTCCTCCTCCTCCTCCTCCCTCCTCCTCCTCCTCCTCCTCCTCCTCCTCCTCCTCCTCCTCCTCCTCCTCCTCCTCCTCCTCCTCCTCCTCCTCCTCCTCCTCCTCCTCCTCCTCCTCCTCCTCCTGAACCTCACCCATATCTTGATCCTCGTCCTGGCTTCGTCACAACTCCTGCCCAGGGTCGCTCTTACATGCAGCCGAGACGGGGCGGGCACGCCTCCCTGCCGACACGCGTGCCGCGAGCAGGCCACAGCTTGCCCAGGAAGGTGCGGACTTCCTCTCGGGGGCCTACCGCCGATCGTTCGGCGATGCATCGCCGACGTCGGGTCGACGCATCCCCCCAAGCCAGTCCCCCCCCCCTTTACCGTTGCCCCTCAGGGGCGGGGGCGACGGAGCAGCGAGGATCGAGGATCAGGGAGGAGTGAGGTGCATCGAGGGTCGAGGGGGATCCAGGGTCATCATCGAGGAGGATCGAGGATCGAGGGGGATCGAGGAGGACCGAGGAGGACCGAGGAGGACCGAGGAGGATCGAGGAGGATCGAGGAGGATCGAGGATCGAGGAGGGTCGAGGATCGAGGAGGATCGAGGAGGATCGAGGAGGACCGAGGAGGATCGAGGAGGACCGAGGAGGACCGAGGAGGACCGAGGAGGACCGTTGCCCCTCCGCGCCCGACGGGGGCGATGGGGACGGCCCCGCCGCCCCGCCGGCGAGCGCGCCGCGGGCAGGCCACGGGGTGCCGCCCCCGCCGCCGCCCCCGCCCCGGCCGCCCGCGCACGGCCGCGGGGAGGAGGCGCCCCCCCCGCGCGCCCGCCCGGGGGGCTTTTTGGGGGGGTCGGTGGCGCTCCCGGGGCGTCCGAAGGAGTGGCGGCGAGCGAGGGGGGTACTTGGCATCGCTCGGACGTGTGCATGTTTCCTTCGGCGGGGACCACCGAGGAGCCTCCCTCGCGCCCGCCCGGGGGGCTTTTTGGGGGGTCGGTGGCGCTCCCGGGGCGTCCGAAGGAGCGGCGGCGAGCGAGGGTGCGGGCAATATCTCTATCCATGTCCAGTGCGTCTGGGACTTTCTTGGGAGGGGCGCCGCAAGGCCGAGGCGCACTGGGTATGGAGAAAGATTCAGCCTTTTTGGAGGCAGATTACCATCCATATCCAGTGCGCCTCATGTTTCTTGGGACGAGAATCCGAAACTCCAAGACGCACTGGATGTGGATCCGATACTCCAGGGCTTGGCATCGTTCGGACGTGTGCATTTTTTCCTTCGGCGGGGACCACCGAGGAGCACCCTTGATCATTTGGCGAAAAACCGCGCACGAAACCGAGCAAAAACACAGGGAATGGACGTCCGAGGGCTTTGGGGGGTCGGCGGCGCTCCCGGGGCGTCCGAAGGAGTGGCGGCGAGCGAGGGTGCGGGCAATATCTATATCCGTGTCCAGTGCGCCTTGGACTTTCTCGGGAGGGGCGCCGCAAAGGCCGAGGCGCACCGGATATGGATAAAGACTTAGCCTTTTTGGAGGCAGATTACCATCCATATCCAGTGCGCCTCATGTTTCTTGGGACGAGAATCCGAAACTCCAAGACGCACTGGATGTGGATCCGATACTCCAGGGCTTGGCATCGTTCGGACGTGTGCATGCTTCCTTCGGCGGGGACCACCGAGGAGCACCCTTGATCATTTGGCGAAAAAACCGCGCACGACACCGAAAAAAACACAGGGAATGGACGTCCGAGCGATGGCCAGGATACTCGTAGGGAAGCAGACAACGATCAGGAAGTGAAAAACACCCACAGGCACAATGAATCGTCGACTCCCCCGAGAAAGCATGAGAAAATATGGGAAGTGTGGGGGGGGAGACAGAACCCTAGAAGACATGGGAAAAGATGGGGAATCCTGTTATTTGTGTCTATTTATTTGTGTGTGTCCCAGGGCTCCTTCTCATGATGTAAACTCAAAAACTCGGAGGTCCGCGCGAATTCCTCGGAGCGGCGCGGGACCTCCCTGGCGGCGCCTCCGGCGCCCCCTTCCTGGCGCGCTCCGCGCGCCAGGGGAGGGGGCGGTCCAGCGCCCAGCCGAGGAATCCGCGCAGACCTCCGAGTTTTTTTATGATTTTGTAGCATGCTTCGCTCCCCTGTACTTGGATAATGGGGGAACAACATGTGACATAAGCATAAAAGAAACTCGGAGGTCTGCGCGGATTTCTCGGATCGGCGCTGGACCCCCCTCCCTCGCGCGCGGAGCGCGCCAGGGGCGGCGCCGGAGGCGCCGCCGGAGGGCCCTAGCGCCGAACCGAGAAATCCGCGCGGACCTCCGAGATTTCATGTTGATGCCACTTCTTGTTCCCCTGGATGAGGGACCATTGAATAAGCATCGGCGGCGAGCGTTGGGGGGTGAAGTGAGAGGGAGAAGGCCTTCTCAGCAGGCGGCGGGACTTCTCGGGAGCGCTCGGGCCCTCTGAGGAGTACTCTGCGTCTTCGCGGAAGGCTTGGGACACTTCTCAGAAGGCCGCGGCACTTCCGGGCCTTCTGAGAAGCATCCGCTCCTTCTCACTTCGAATGGAGTCCAGGGTCTGGAAATTGAAGTCGGTGGAAAACGAGTTGAGACTTGGCCATGGATGCCACCGCTGCCTTCATCCGATAAGGAATCTTCCAGGGTCTGACGCCTCCCGGGCACATTCCTTCACGAACGCCCCCACCGTTTCGACCCCAGCTGTTTTCCCCAGAGTTCAAAGACAGCTTCAGGATAGACGCGACGCCGAATCGGCGTGTCCCTCCCATCCGTAAGCGGTCGAGAGACGGCCAGAAACAGGGTCTTTATATTCATCATGGGGGAGGGGATGGAGGAGAAATAGCATAACGGGACACTTGCATCCTGACAAGTCTGTATCGTCCCAGATCGCCGCTCATGAGACTTGAACACACCGGGAATCAATGTGACAGTATTTGTTGCGCCCTCGCAGTCCTAAACCGCGCAAGAACACCATCCCTGGGATTTCAACCCTACGGCTCCTTCAAACATGATCCCCCCCAGGCCTTTTGAATAGACCCCGCGGGGCGCGAAACTTTTTCAATTACACGCGCCAGGGCTCGGAGAGCTCGGGGGACCATCGCGCCGCAGAAGAAGGATAATGAGGAGAAGGAGGAAGGAGAAGAGAGGAGAAGAGGAGGGAGGAAACGTAGGGATGAGGAGGATGAGGAGGAGGACGAGGACGCGGACGAGGACGAGGACGCGGACGAGGAGGAGGAGAAGGAGGAGGAGGAGGAGGAGGAGGACGGGCCCGCCTTGCCACGCGTCGCCGCGCCTTCCCCCCGCGCCTTGCCTCGCCGCGCCTCGCCCGCGGCGGCCGCGGGCCCGCGAGGCAGCTGGCGCTACCCTGGCTGCGGCCATGGCAAAAGAAACGCATCGGTTCGACAGGAAACGGCACGGAAAGTGCGGGGTGAGCGCCGACACCAGTTCTTCTTCATTTGGAAGAGGTGTCGCCCTGGCTCATGGTCACTGCTTTTGCCGCCCTTCTCTCCCGCCCCCCACCCCGTCACCCAGTCTGTGCTGTTTCTGTCGCCTTCTCGCTGGCGGCCGGAGGTCGGCGCTAATCACCGGCGCCGCCGCCGTTGTTTTTCAATTTGGCGGGCGCCACCTCGCGACTCGCCAGAGCAGGGAAACCATTTTTCCAAACGCGCACCCCCCACCGCAAGCTGACATTGCAGACGGATGTGCGCGGCGTTAAGGCGAGATTGTCGTCCCGACGTGAACATTGTGTCGTCCAGGCTGTACACTGCGCGGCAGGAGTGGGACGGGGCGCACCTTCCGCACGAATGGCCGACATGTCGATCTCGCCTCGGCACCGCGGTCTCTCTCTTCTGGATGATTGAGCGCCCGGTGGGGCGCGGCGCAACATTCCGTCGACGCGCGAGCGTCCGAACATGCATCTCTCGCGTTGGCGCCTTCGCAGACTTCGCCCGACAGCGGGGCTCCCGCGTCGATGCGGCGCGCGCGCTTCACTCGCTAATGAAGTTTGTTGGGGCCCGCGCGGGTGGGCGACTCGTCACTCTCGCCCGAGCTCCGTGCGCACTTCGCTCGGGAGTGGTGTCCCGCGCGGGCGCGTGGCGCGGCGCACTGCTCGCTCGCCGCATCGCGCGGCAACGTCAGCGGCAGCGGCGGCGAAATGCCGACCCTGCGCCAACGCCGCGCAGCTCGCGCGTAGAAGCGGCAGTGCGCGCTTGTCAGCGCAGTGCGTGCTGCGTCCTCGCCGCGCCCATCGGACATGGGGTCGCGCGCAAGAGCCTTCCGCCTTACGATCTGGGAGCGCGCGCGATTCCAAAATTCCACATTGTGCCAACACTGATTCGTATGTTGTGGGGTGGGGGATGGAAATGACCCGCTCGACCTGGCCACGTTGACTCCTACTCTTGCTTGTCCTTCTTTCTCCTACTGCACCTGCGTTCTCCTCCTCCTCGTCTTCCTCCTCCTCCTCCTCCTTTTCCTCCCCCCTCCCGCCCTCCATGCCGAGCCGCCCTGAACACATCTCTTCAGCCCCCCCCATCCGAAGCGCGCCCAGCATGCCTCGAGCACGGAGGTGGTAGCACACATTCGAGTTTTTTGATGGGAGTCCGCTGGTGCCCGCTCGCTCGTCGTTCGCATATCCCGATGGTCGAGAAGGCGGTACACCGGGCCCCTGATCCCCAATGCGTTTGTTTGCCAGGTTTGTCCCGAAGCCTCGTTTGCAACGGCCGGTCCTAATCCGAATGCATTTCCACAGTGAACAGCTAACCCAGACATGCACCAGAGGTTTCGTTCGTTCCTCCACACGACGACGACGACGACGACGCCGAGGGTGGTTCCAAGGTAGCCACTGCGGTAGGTTCATAGTGACAGTCATCGTCGTCGCCGTCGACGATGACGACGGTTCGCCGACGGCGACGACGGCCACGACGACGACGACGTTCAAGGCGGAGCTGCATGCAGATCGCTCTGGGCGCGCAAAGGGTGCAGAGCATATGGCGATCTTGCGGGCAGGGTTTGGGGCGTTGGGCATGAGTCTCAAGCAGTGGCGAAGCGTCCTGGCTCGCCTATGGCCCTACCAAACACTGTCCTAAGAACCTTTCGTTCCACGAAATGTTCTTAGAACATTTCTGGCGGAGTCTGTCTTGTGTTGACATATTGGGTGACTGTTCTGAGAACGGCGCTTCCGTTCGTAGAACATTTTTGGGGGTTCTAAGAAAATTTCGTGGTAGGCCTATAGGAATGCGAAGACAGTCGGTCCCTGCTCAAGCGTCCCCTGCCCCTGCTCAAGCTAATTAGTTCTAAGAACATCGTTTTCGTGCTTAGAGTTGTTGGGGTTCTAAGAACATTTCGTGGTAGGCCTATAGGAATGCGAGGACAGTCGGTCCCTGCTCAAGCGTCCCCTTCCCCCTGCTGCACCTCCGCCCCCCGCCGCGCCCTCCGCGCGAGAGAGGACCGCGGGCGCCCCTGCGGCGGCGCCCCCGAGGGCGGCCGCGCCGGCGGGCGCCCGCCGCCGGCCTCGTGGGCGCCCCCCGCGCCCGCCCGGCAGGGTCCGGCAGGTAAAGGGCAGGAAGGGATCGGGGGCGGCGAAGAGGGGGGTGATGACTGGGATTCCATGATGTTTCCACAGATTCCACAGATCGTGACTAGGATTTCCACAGATTCCACAGATTTCACATGATTAGGATTTCCACAGATTCCATGACTAGGCATCATGACGGGAGCCATGATGTGGCCAGGTACCAGGCAGGAAGGGATCGGGGGCGGCGAAGAGTCTATAGACGTAAGAGTGACCTTTCGCCGGAGTGACCTTCTAAAACGACGCGAAGATCGGGGCAAAGACGGATCGGGATAACTCGAAATCTGTGAGAATCGGCGGGTTTGGAGGATGTATTGGGCGCCGCGGCCGCCCCAGAGCGTTCCGGATCGCTCTGAGAGCGCTCCGGAACGCTCTGGAGCGATTGATCCCGATCATAGCCTTGTTTTATAGTACCAGGCAGGAAGGGATCGGGGGCGGCGAAGAGTCGACTAGACGTAAGAGTGACCTTTCGCCGGAGTGACCTTTATAAAACGACGCGAAGATCGGGACAAAAACGGATCGGGATAACTCGAAATCTCTGAGAATCGGCGGGTTTGGAGGATGTTTTGGGCGCCGCGGCCGCCCCAGAGCGTTCCGGAGCGCTCTGAGAGCGCTCCGGAACGCTCTGGAGCGATTGATCCCGATCATAGCCTAGTTTTATAGTACCAGGCAGGAAGGGATCGGGGGCGGCGAAGAGTCGACTAGACGTAAGAGTGACCTTTCGCCGGAGTGACCTTTTAATACGACGCGAAGATAGGACAAAATCGGATCGGGATAATTCAAATTCTCTGAGAAGCGGCGGGTTTGGAGGACGTATTGGGCGCCGCGGCCGCCCCAGAGCGTTCAGGAACGCTCTGAGAGCGCTCCGGAACGCTCTGGAGCGATTTATCCCGATACTAGCCCTGTTTTATAGTACCAGGCAGGAAGGGATCGGGGGCGGCGAAGAGTCGACTAGACGTAAGAGTGACCTTTCGCTGGAGTGACCTTTGGTGCGGGCACGGATGGGTCCCCAGAGGGCTGAAAACGGAGCGGTAGCAGCGGCTCGCGCGCCCAGGTTTGGTCCCCCCGCGGCCCCCAAAAAGCCGCGCAACAAAGGTCACTCTTACCCAGGGTCACTCCTGCGTGTGGCCGAAAGAGGGGGGTGACGACTAGGGGGGTGTGGATATCATGACGGGAGCCATGATGTTTCCACAGATTCCATGACGCCTCTTCTTGTTTTGATGCGTTCCCGGCCCCTCCCTGCAGCAACGCACGTGCCGCCGGCCATGATTCGCCCCCCCCCCCCCCCCTCTTGGACGCCCCACTCTCTGCCGCTCCCGAAGGGAGCCTCCGTAGTCACAGGGACGACGATCGGGATCACTTCTGGGTCAGCGTGGAAGATTCTCACGCGGGGTCCTCCTTCCGCCGGAGTAAGGTTGTTCAAGCGTGCTGCCCGGAGGGCATGGATGAGACGTCTTCCATGCGCATTCCATGCGATAGAGTGGACCATCTGATGAAGAGACCTTCGCCCGAAACGATGGGCCAGCGTCGCTTCACCACCGTGCCAGAAAGCTGGCGCAGTTTCTTGAGCACGTTCCACCTCCATCGTGAACGGCATACATTGGCCCAGGTTTGTTATAAGAAACCTCCAGGAAGTTGGCACATATCTCTTGCATGGTAGTTTGTTGATCAAATGTATGGTCTGTTGTTGTGCAAGTATCCGCAGAGTGTTTTGTTAGGGAGCACCTGGGATGACTTGACAGGCAGCAGTTGGCAACAGGCAGGCTGCATCTGATCCGACTTTCAAGTCGACACTGAGAGATCCTGCACTCCAGCAGAGCGGCTCCTCCAGGTGAGGGGGAGGATGAGTTTCCATTGAGGGGGGGAGGATGAGGATGAGGAGCGACGGGGGAGGAGGAGGAGGAGGAGGAGGAGGAGGAGGAGGAGGAGGAGGAGGAGGAGGAGGGAGGGAGGAATAGAATGGAAGAACAAACCCGAGGGAGGAAGGACTAGGCGGGAGGCATGGGAGGAAGGGACGAGAAAGGAGAGAAGGAGGAAGGAGGATAGACGACGGAGGAGGGATGAGGTAGGAGGGGGGGAGAGTAAGAGGAGGAGGAGGCGAGTACGGGATGTGGGTTTGATCAACCAGGTTTGAGCCATGTAGACCCGTTTTTCTCGAGGTCGGTCTCGCTTCAGAATCTCATATTGGGTGAACTCTTGCCAGAGTTGTGAGTTCTGATAGGCTCTCATGCGGTTTTTTATGGCAAGAAGGACAGAGAAGGAGGAGAGAGATGGAGTAAGAGCGATGGAGGAGGGAGGAGAAAGGGATGAGGAGGAGAACAAGGAGGAGAGAGGGACGAGAATGAGGATGAGAAAGAGGAGGAGGAGGAGGAGGAGGAGGAGGAGGAGGGAGGGAAGGAGGGAGGGGGAAGGAGGGAAGGACGAGAGAGGACTAGGGAGGGAGTGAGTGGGGTAGAAAGGAGGGTGGGAGGAAGAGGAGGAGGAGGTGGAGGTTCACAGGAGGAGGAGGAGGAGCAGGAGGAGGAGGTTTACAGGAGGAGGAGGAGGAAGAAGAAGAGGAGTCGGAGGAGAAGGAAGAAGGTGGTGATGATGATGCTGATAATGCTGATGCTGATGATGCTGATGGTGATGATGATGGTGATGATGATGATGCTGATGCTGATGATGATGGTGATGCTGATGCTGATGATGATGCTGATGATGATGATGATGATGATGATGATGATGATGATGATGATGATGATGATGATCATGATGATGATCCCCGCGGCTGAAGGGGTCAGGAGCTCCTAGCTCGTACTGCCCCTCGGACCGAGGCGTTTCCCTTTGGCCTTGCGGAGGCAACGCCCAGTCTCGTGCGCCTCGGCGCACATGCGCAGATTCGCTTGAGTGCCGAGAGCAATCATCCGCCTCAGCAGAGGCAAGCGGTCGAGTGATCCCAGCAGTCAAAGCGACTCAGCACGCTCGGCAGCTAGCACAGAGCCACGGCTGCCGATCCAGCGGACTGGTACGCAGCTTTGCTGCACACCGCGCCTGAGAAGCGACTAGGTAACTGGGTCCCTGGCCCAGGCCACCCCGGCGCGGTTGCTCCTCAGGCCTGCGGAGATCGAACCAGAGCGTGGGCGGGCCTTCGGGTGGCCTTCCACGCCAGAGCGACGGGCAGGGCATGCCGTCGCGAAGAGGGCGCCAGCAACTACATTGAGCGGAAGCTTGCAAGCGCGCCGAAAGAGGCGAGCGCTCGACTACACCTCTCCATCAGCAGCGCAACCCGCCAACAGACTCCTGGCCACTAACTGGTCTGGTTGCATTGCCGATGGGGCCAGAGCCCGATCCCGAGTGATGGCGAGCCTTCACTCCTGGGTCAGTCTCTTGGATATGGAGGGCTCTCCGCGCCGAGCAGATGGCAAGCCAGGCAAGACGCGCGTCGAACAGGACGCGGCTAGGACAGCACCTCGCCACCAGCATCACAACACTTCCCTAAGGCCGAGCCACAACAGCGTGTTACAGTGCCGCTAGCAACGGAGCCCGACCCCGTGTGTCGGCAAGACTACACACTTGGTTCAGTGTCCGTGTGTCGGCAAGCTTACGCGCTCAACAACTGAGCCGTTGCAGGTTAGAAGGGCCGCAGCCATAGACAAGCGCATGATGATGATGATGATGATGATGATGATGATGATGATGATGATGGTGATGAGGACGATGCTGTTGATGATGCTGATGATGATGATGATGGTGGTGGTGATGATGATGATGATGATGATTTCGATGCTGATGCTGATGATGATGATGACGATGATGATGATGATGTTGATGTTGATGATGATGCTGATGATGATGATGATGATGATGCCAAGGGTTAGGAGGAGGAGGAGGTGGAGGATGCTGATGATGATGATGATGATGATGCTGATGATGCTGATGATGCTGATGACGATGATGATGATGATGATGATGATGATGATGATGATGATGATGATGATGATGATGATGATGATGATGATGATGATGATGATGATGATGATGACAAGGGTTAGGAGGAGGAAGAGGAGGAGGAGGAGGAGGAGGAGGAGAGGAGGAGGAGGAGGAGGAGGAGGAGAGAGGGAGAGAGGGCGGGAGGGGGGGTGGGGGAGGAGGAAGAACGAGAGAGGACGAGGGAGGGAGTGGGGTAGGAAGGAGGGTGGGAGGAAGAGGAGGAGGAGGAGGAGGAGGAGGAGCAGGAGGAGGAGGATGAGGAGGAGGAGGAGCAGGAGGAGGAGGAGGAGGGTCACATAAGGAGGAAGTGGAGGAGGAGGGTCACATAAGGAGGAAGAGGAGAAGGAGAAGGAGGAGGAGGAGGTTCACAGGAGGAGGAGGAGGAGGAAGAGGAGGAGGAGGAGGATGAGGAGGAGGAGGAGGAGGAGGAGGAGGAGAGGGCGGCGCCCGCCACAGAGGCCCCCGCGGACGGCGGTGCGCCGGAGCCCGCGGCCGCGGGCCCCGCCGACTGGGAGGCGCGGGCCGCGCCTCGGGCGGGACTCGGGCAGCTTACTTATGCAGGCCCACCTCCTTCGGAGGGTGGTGGTGATGGCTGGTTGGGAGGAAGAGGATCAGGATGGTGGTGATGACTGGGGTTGGGATGGCGATGGTGGTAATGACGGTATGGCGTTGTTGAGAAAAGAGGAGGAAGAGAAGGATGAAGATGGTGGTGATGATGAAAAGGTGAATGAGGAGGAGGAAGGAGGAGGAAGGAGGAGGAGGATGGTGGTGAGCCTGAGAAGCTTCGAGGTCTGGTTTTTGTCTGACGGCTCGGGCTTTCGCGGCGTGGAGTCTGCTTGTACGGTGATGTTGGTGTCGTCGTCCTCGCCCGCGACCCACTCGCGACACGCCCGCGACCCACTCGCGACATGCCCGCGACCAACCCCGCGACCGCCTCTGCGACCGACCCCGCGACCCACACCGCGCCTGCCCCCCTTTCATCCTTATCCGCAGCTGCGTGGTGCTACGCGTACACGCCCACCTTCACGGGCAGCGTCAGGGAAGGATAGGCTCAGAGGTGGGGACAGCCTGCTCTCTACCCCTCATTCTCGCTCGAAACTCCGAGGTTTGGTTTTGGTGTGACCTATGTTCGTCGCATCTCGGCGGTTTCCGAGCCATACTCCCCAGCAGCTGCGCCTCGGCGAGGGCGTTCTGGGGGTGCCCGGATCGTCCCAGACGGCCGCTGGAGACCCCGAGTTGTGGCCCGAGTGCATGCTCTCAGGAGCGAGAGAAGGACGTACACGTACATGAATCCGCGCTGGTTTCGAGAGTACGCATTGCCCGAATGGTCGTATCACGCGGCCATTCTCGCGGATCGAGTGGCCGTGTTCATGTACATAGCTGGGCGCGTACGTCCTTTGTGGGCTCGCTATGCTCACCTCCCTCCTCAGAAGAGGAAAGGATACCGATTCCGCTGCTCGTCCTGGAGAGGGAGGGCCCTCGTTGCTACGGCCGGAGTCCTCGCGGCCCTGGTCAGAGCGCGCCCTGGATAGGTCTGGGGAGTCGCGGTAGCGGTTCCTCTGGTTCCCCCACCTCCGTTCCATTCCCCCCCCACGGATCTCAGATTTTATGGGATTCACTCCGGGCGCTTTTTTCTTTGATTCCGACCTTTGGGGTCCTGTGTCCGTCCCCGTAATGCGGACGGCGGTGTGTTTTTCTTTGTTCTAGGTTGTCGTCGTCTCTCTCGTTCTAGTCGTTTGTCGTTGTCTCTCTCGTTTGTCGTTGTTGTTGTTCTTTTGTTTTTTTCTAGTTTGTCGTTGTCTCTCTCGTTTGTCGTTGTCTCTCTCAGGTTGCCCCGCCTCGTGGATGCTCTCCAGCAGCTGCGCTTCGGCGAGAGCAGAGCGTTCCAGGGGTGCCCGGACCACCCCGAGCGGCCGCCCCAGGCTCGGGTTGTGGGCCTCAAACCAGACCAGCTACAGTCGGGGCCCTGAAGAAGGAACCCTTTTCGTTGGGGAGGGGCTCCGCGTTCCTTACGTGTTTCGCAGCTTGCCTCAGGCTTTCCTTAGGTTTTCGATGCGAAATCGAAGTTCAACTAATGGAAAATAGGGGCCTCGTTCCTTATTTAGGGCTCCTTAGGTCAAGGCCCCGACTGTATGGGCCTCAAACCAAACCAGCTGTTTGACGACACGTTCCTCTAGGACGGATGCGGGCCTGCACAAGTTGCGACGACGTTCGACGACGGGCGCGATGACGCACCACTTGTGCTTGCCGATTTCGATGCCGATCCAGCGTCAGTCTTGCCGGTTTCCGATTCGATCCGGTTCGGCCTCGCCGATGCCCGCCGACAGCGTCTTTGTTTACGCCCCGCAATTGCGGATAAGAGGGAGGGGGCGGGCGCGGGCGATGCGGGCGTCGAGCCGGCGGATCTCGTAGCCTTCACCTTCGCTGTCGATGGCGCCTTCCTCCTCCTCCTCGTCCTCCTCCTCCTCCTCCTCCTCCTCCTCCTGCTCCTCCTCCTCCTCATCTTTCTCGTGATTTGCGTCATAGTTTTCTTCTTCTGCGGGGGAGGGGCCGGGGAAGAACGAGGTGCACCAGTATACGGTCGGGAACGTTTGCTTACCCTCTGTGTGGTCATTCATTCGGGGGTACGCAGACGGGAATTGTGTGCCCAAGGGTTAAGTCGGGCCTGTCCCTCTACAGGGGGAATATTCAAAACTAGTAAAAAATAGTCCGGGGACTATTTTTTGATTTTTGTTTGACCATTTCGGTGTATTTTTAAGTATTTGTTATTTGTCGTCGAAGCTCCCCCTGTAGGGGGACACGCCCGACTTCACCCAAGGGTTGAATGGGTGGTTCGCGGCTGGCGCCTCAGCCGCCGGATCTGCTGGCCCCCAGGGGCCGTCGCAGTCATCTGGCCCGAGAGCCCGAGCAACATCGGCGACCAGCATCAATCACCACCCACCAAACCACCCCAACCCAACCCGAAGGCTTAGATTTACCTTCGATTTCCAGTGGGGGGGGGTCGGGAAACATCGAAAAAACACATGTGGAACCCTTGACCCCCCCCAACCCGAAATTCGGGTCTTCGGGTTGGGTTGGGGTGGTCTGGTAGGTAGTCAATCAAGGGAGTGATGTGAACCAGCAGGGGTGGTTCCCGTCCGTCCCCGCCTCTCAGCCCACGGCGGAGGGAGGGAAGGAGAGGCGACGACGACGACGACGACGACGACGACGACGACGAGGGAGGAGGAGGAGGGGGGAAGGGAGTACGGAGGAGGGAGGAGGGAGGACGGGCGAGCGAGGATGGAGGAGCGGGGGAGAGCGGAGGGAGGTGCGGGCTGGAGGCAGGAAGGAGGAGAGGGGCACCTGAAGCTTTGCCCGCGCGGTCTCCGTCGCGCCCCCCCCGAGCTGATGACGGCCAGAAAACTGGCAGTCCATCGACCTCCAGAGGTGCAGGAATCCCAAGCCCGGAATTGTTCTGTCGGGCCCCTGGGGCATTCTGATGATCCGTCGGGGAATGCTGACGGTTCCCTGGCGTTCCGACGGTTCCCTTTGGGCATTCTGACGGTTCCTCGGAGCATGTTGCCATGTCTCCGGCGGGGGGCTTCTCCATTCTGGCGGTGGACGGGCCATCTCGACGGTAGCAAAATTGTTTCGACGTTAGGTTTCATTGCCAGGTTTCTGCCCCCTGAGAGATCCCACCGGCCACACGCCCAGTCGAGTCGAGATCTACGGGGATTGACATTGCCGAAGATCAAGGCTCGTGATTACCTGCGAGCGTTTCCGACTTGAAAAACAACCTGATCTGTTTTGCTTCTGAGGAGTGCCTCAGGGAAACAGAACACATTGAAAGTTGAAAGGATTACCGAATGTTCATATCCCCAGGATCTTGCAGACAGAGCTTGGTCCACTAATCCCTTGCGATTCGAGGTCTCGGCGTACCAATTCCTAGATCATGGGCCGGCGGCTGGGTCTGGCCGTTCTTACACGTCGCACATAGGGTCAACAAGTCTTGGTAAGGCCCCCACGCAGGCTCGCCCAATAGCGTGTCGCGCCGCTGGTTCAGTCCCCGCCGGCGGGGCTGGCCGCGCCAGCACACCCAAGGAGTGATCCGTCCCCTCTGAGTGGCCCTCTCGTCCTCCTTCCCCCCTGCGGCCGGAGGGGGGGCGGAGGCGGGAGGCGGCGAGGTCGGGGGCGGGAGGGCGGAGAGGGCCCCGCCCCCAAAACCTCACAGCTTTTCTCATCCGCTCCCTCTCCTCGCTCCGGGAACGACTGCACGGTCGATTCTCCCCGCGATGACGCGGCGGCGGCCCCTTACGGTGAAGGCGTTTGTCAAGCAAAAGTCTCAGGAGGCGCCAGACCCTTGGAGGATTCCTTCTCAAATGAGGGCGGCGGTGACATCTATGGCCGATCCGCGATTGGAGCTCCACTGGCTTCCCGAACCTGGATTCCTTATCTAAGGGTTCCTTATCCAATGCCCACACCGTTCAGTAGCCATTTTGGCTCAAGGCCAGGTCCGCCCGCTTTCGGGCGCGCGGGACCCAGGATGGCGCGGGATGGCGCGGAGTGCGCGCCAAAGCGTTCGGCGGCCCAGCGTGCTGCGGGACGGCAGTGGGCTAAGTGGTCCGCCGACAACGCCGTGCGGCGGCTGACGGGCGAGTTGGGGAGGACTCGGGCCCGTCTGGAGGCCGCGGAGCAGGCCTTGGGCGCTGTCATCGGGGATGACGAGGTGGCCCATAGGCTGCAGGCGATGCTCCCCGCGCTGCAGGCCACGCTGGGAGGGTGGACCCCATCCTGGCTCGAGCGCCTGCGCCGCAACGTCGCCCTCCATGCCGAGGCGCAGGGCATGGACATCGTGGCGGCCAGCGCGGCGGAGCTACGTTCTGCGCAGCGGGGACCCCGGCTGGAGCGGCGCGCGGCGGCCGATGGCGCGCTGAGGGCGGATGCGCCTCCCTTCGTCCCCCTCGGCCCCATCGGCGCTGGCGCGCCCGGCGGCGGCGTGCCCCACACGCCGCACGACGCCAACCAGCTGCTGGCGGACCTCATCGCCTACGCCGCCCCCATGCAGGAGGCGCTTCTCGGCGAGGGTTGCCAGCACGCGCAGACCGACGGCATCGACACGGAGCTGGAGGCCGCCGACGGCGGGAGCGGCGGGCCGCAGCTCGGTGGCCCCCAGGGCGCTGCGGCCGCCCGCGCCCGCGACCTAGCCGAGCTCCACGACGCCTTCGTGGAGGAGGTCTTCGTGTCGGCGAACGAGGCCTTCGGCGTCCAGGACGACCTGAACCAGCTGATGGCTGATCTGGCGGCGGAGCTCGGCGGCGAGGCCGACTCCAGGTACGCCGCCGCGGCGGAGCCCGGCCCTGGGACAGGTGGATTCAGCCCACCGAAGTCGCAGTCCCAGGGTCGCGGCGAGTTCGAGAAGCCGCACGACGCGGAGGTGAACGCTGCTGGCATCGCGGAGCTCGACGCGCTGTATGCCGCTGCTGGGGGCACGGCGCTGGTGCACGGCAGCGGCGCGCGGGCCCGCGGCGGGTTCGCCCAGGAGGCCGCCCTGGGCGGCGGCACTGCAGGCACCTCGGAGCCCATCGGGCTGTCCGAGGCTGCTGGTGGCGAGGTGCTGCTGCAGACGTCCGAGGGCACGAACAGCAGTGCGGTTGCTGCAGAGGCCGTGGCCGAGCAGGACGCCTGCGCGGACCTCTCGGCGGGTGACCTGCGGGAGCGCCACTCGGAGCCGAGCCCGACCGCGCCCGAGAAGGCCTCGGGCCAATGGCGGTCGGCATCGGACGAGCTCCGAGGCGCGACGTCAGCCCTCCTAATGGACCTGGAGGCGCAGCTGGCGGCCGTGTGGGCGCGCGGGTAGCCTCGGCCTGCCGCCCCCTCTTCCTGAATGCATGCGTGAACCCCCTGCGCGCGCGCAGGGCCTACAGAGATAAAAAATATGCCCACACCGTATCATCCGCCGATGTTGTTCGAGAAGTCTACGACATGGGAACGCGGTGATCTGTTTGGATGCACCGTGTCCGAAACCAGCCCCGACGTCCGCGCGGCGGGAGCGCCGGCGTTCCAGGGTGAGCGCCCCTTCTCCGCCGGTATCGATCGAGCAGTCTGACGCCATGTTCCCAGACCCCCGACGTCATCGACTGCCAGAGGTCTCGACTCATTCCCCGGGACCAGTTTTTCATCCCGAGTAATCTTCTGATGGCCCCGAGGCCTGGAGAGGGCCCCCCGAGGCCGAAGATTGCGAGAGCAGCGCCAGAGCTCCATGAGAAGGAGGCGGAGGAGAAGGAGGAGGAGGAGGAGGAGGAGGAGGAGGAGGAGCGAGGCGGAGGAGGGGGAGGAGGAGGAGGAGGAGGAGGAGGAGCTGGGAGCGAGGAGCGCGCCCCTCCGCCCCAGGAGTGGGCCGATCCCCGCCGCCCCGCGGGCGCGGGCGCGCCCGAGTCGGAGTACGCGAGGCGCTGGCCGCCCGCCCGCCAGCGGCCCCCCCCTCCAGCCTCCTCCTCCTCCTCCTCCTCCTCCTCCTCCTCCTCCTCCTCCTCCTCCTCCTCCCCCTCCTCCTCCTCCCCTCCTCCTCCTCACCTCCTCTTCCAGTCGCGTGCTGCGGTGCGCCGGGGGGGGTCGGCCGTCGCCGTCCCCGGCCGTGGTTCGGTACGATCGGGCCGGGCGAAAGGGGGGGATTGGGAAAGGGGGGGTACGAAATGTGCTGCATGCAGCTGGTTTCGGCCCCACCGAGGGGCCCGTTCCTCGATGCATGGCCGCCTCCGGCGCCGGGGGGCGCTGGGAAAATCAGCTACGTGAGCTGATTCTCAAACCCCGCCTTTGCTGTCCCCCCCTTTCGCCCGACCCGATCCAGTCGCGTGCTGCGGGGCGCTGGGGGGTGTCGGCCGTCGCCGTCCCCGGCCGTGGTTCGGCACGAGCGAGTCGCGGGTATACGTGGGGGAGACAGTTCGCCAGAGTGACCGCTGGTGCGGGCACGGAGAGGTCCCCAGGCAGCTCAAGGCGATGCGATGAGCAGCAGCTTGCGCGCTCCGATTCGGCCACCCCGCAGCCCCCGAACGTCGCGCACCACAAGGTTACTCTTGCCCAGGGTCGCTCTTACGTGTAGCCCGGAGTCGCCTGAGGTGTTTCGCGATATTCGGGCTCTCGAGGCCCTCCACGGGCCCCGGGGCTGTCAGAAGACGACTTGGGATGAGGATCTCGTCCTGGGGGAAGGCCCCCGGGTTCAGGGCCCGTGTCCATCAGGACCCTTTTCCCCGTGCTAAGTCGAAGCGGGAACGGAGTGAATGGGTCCATCGAAATGGGAACAAAAAGGAAGGGTACCTCACACCTTGGAGTTACAAGCATGGTGGACATTGTGTGTATCCATTTCGATTGCATTGCACAAGTGGTTTTTGGATTGATGCAGGTAATGCACCCGGATTGATTGCACACGGCTCCACATTCATAGAGGATAACCGCAGATTGCTTTCGATGTTAAGGGGGACCCCCCTGAGCTCTCGGCTGGGAATCAAACTCGCCCTTCCCCTCCTCGCCCTTCCCCTCGTTTTTCCCCTCCTCCTCCCACGCCACGGGCGTCTCCGCCTCTGGGCGTTGCGAATACGGAGAGCCGCTCCCGTTCCTTTTGCACAGGACCCGCTGCCGGTGCCCCCGCGGATGGTTCCCATGTGCGACGGAGGGCCGGCGCTGCCCGACCGCGGCCGCCGTCGGTGCTGGCCAAGACCTGATCTTTGGCATTGTGCCCATGTTTCCCTTCTCCCTTGCGCGCGCCCAGAGTATCGGGCCGGGCGAAAGGGGGGGATTGGGAAAGGGGGGGTTACGAAATCTGCTGCATGCAGCTGGTTTCGGCCCCACCGAGGGGCCCACTACTCGATACATGGGCGCCTCCCACCGCCGGGAGGCGCCGGGAAAATCAGCTACGCGAGCTGATTCTCAACCCCCGTTTTGCTATCCCCCCCTTTCGCCCGACCCGAACCCTGGGAAGTCACGGGGTGAACGAAGAGCGTGCCCCCGGATTTCTCATGCCAAGTTTTCCCTCGTATGATCAGGGATGTTGGTTTAGTGTGTTGCTTCGCACGGTCTGGCCCACCACGCTTTGGAGCGACACGCCACCCACTTCGCGGCCCACCCACCGTCAACGTCCCGAACCTTTTTCCGAGCCTCCCGCCCAGCGGAGCGGAGCGACCCGCGATCCGCTCGCAGGGCGCAGCGTGTCGCAAGGGCTGCCGCCGCGGCACGCCAAGCAACCATTCCCGACCGTAGCATGCTTTGTTTTTTCCTGTCGCTTCTCATGCGCGCCTTGGACACTCTCGCAATGCCGCTTTTAGAGTGTGTCAGCGTCGGCTAGCGTCTGGTAATCGATGAGATAGCGCCGATGCCTCGGAGCAGCGTCCATCCAGCGTCGAGCTGCGTCGACTGGGCGTCGCCTCTTAAGAGCCAGCGAGATAGCATGGGCGACCCCCCAACCAGTGGCCCACAGAGTGTTCCCAGAAGGCGAGCCTCCCGAGGCACAGCGCGCCGTGCTCGCCCCACCCTCGCCCTCGAGCACCCGTGGCGCGCCCACCCCCCCACCCCACCCCACCGAGGAGCGTGGAGCGAGGAGGAGCGAGGAGGAGCGCGGAGGAGCGAGGACGAGGAGGAGGAGGAGGAGGAGGAGGAGGAGGAGGAGGGGAAGAGGAGGAGGAGACGAGGAAAAATAGGAGGAGGAGGCGGAGGAGGAGAAGGCTAAGGACCAGGAGGTGGAGGA